CTGAGATATTAACAAAATCTTTGGAATTATGCCAACAATCAATGCCTTAAAAAATTTTCATTCTTTATATAACATATAGATGTGGCAGCGTTTTGTTTTATATTTATGATGATGATACGCATTTTAAATGTTACTATTATTCATCTGTGCACATGCACAAAAAAAAAGTAAAAATTATATATTATATGTATGCATACAATATATAAAATTTTATATTAGATAATTGATGTATTACATTTTAAATTTTGACTATATGCAAATGTGTAGTGTATATATAAATTATTAATTATTTAACTTACGTATGAATATTTATATTGATGCTATAAATTTTAAAGGACAATATAATTTAGTAGTCTAGAGGGACCATACATTTAATTAGTTAGAAAAGTATTACAAATTTTTTTATCATTGTTATAGCAATTGTCTAAATGATTTCAAGGTGTTTAACTATGACACTCGTGCCAATTAATTAATATTAGATAAAAGACAATAATAATTTTATTTTACAAAAAAATATTTTAAAGAAAAAAATTGCAATACAATTTTTTAAAAGTATGTAACTTCTACATCTATTTAATGTAAAATTATAATCAGTTAGTGTTAGTAGTAATATTATATAATAAATTAATTTAAAATTGTTATTACACTTTATTAATGTAAAAGGTAACGTTTCTACATTAATTGAAAAAATGAGCGGGAAAATTATGAAGGTTTTATTAAACGTTTTATTAAATGCATTTGCCAGCAATTATATATATAGAGATTTTTAAAATTATACAAGTTCATGATATCTACTTAAAACTAGTGTGGTAACCGTGCGGTGCAGGGGGTAGTTTTATTAAGGTAATCATTTAAATTTGGATGTATAACAATACATATTGTAATAAAACAAAATGTAATTTATATATTATTAAACACATCATTGTATATAACATTATTTGTTTGATCTTTTGGTACATCGTCTATCGCATTGCATAGACAAGTATAACAGAGATTGTAAAACGTCTTTCTTGATAATCTACAATAGAGGTCTTTTGGTACAAACGTCTAACGCATTATTTGTTAACTCTTTTGTTATTATTTTTGGTAAATAAATTTTCTCTATATATCTATCAGTTCTTCTATGAAACCAGATGGTTGGTTCCCTTATGCAACCAATCACCAATGAGACAGTGCCACATGGAGCTGTGAATAATACATAGCATTGTCTCATTGATGGTTGGTTCCATAAGAGAACCAACCATATGGTTTCTTAGCAAAGTTGATATTTCTATATAAGATAATAATCACATTTATTTAACCCAACAATATATTGGGCCCTCCAAAATACATAACCAGTTCAAAATTAAATAAATACGTTTGATATGTGAAACGAATTATGTGGACCGATTTATGTGGACACTTGAACTAAATAAATATGTTTGATATGCAATCAATTAATTTTAAATCAATTCAAATCAACAATTAACAATTGCTTTTAACAAATTAACAATTAACAAACTAAATTTGATATGCAATCAGTTCCGTGATTAAAGAGTTATTAATTAAAGTAACAAAAAAAATTGCCATTAATAGTAACTAATTAATGTGTCCAAATTTGACCAGAAATTTGACTTGCTATTTTTAAAAAATGGTAAATCTGTTTATATATATATAGATATAGATATCAACAAATATATAATTTGATTTGTCTTACGACTCACGAGTAATGATTTAAAATACATGTTTACATATTGTTTCTGAAAAGACAATTATGCGAGACAGTGTTTTAATTACCGTTTTAATCATTTTAACTTTTCTTAATTACAAAAATCGAGTAAAGTAGATAATGATGATATTTTTTATGGTTGATTGTTTTCCTAATAAATTGCATGTAATCTATGAATTATACAACAAACTAAAATTTGAATTACTTACCTTTTCTCTTCTCCCTCACATATCTTATCATGAATTATACAACAAACTAAAATTTGAAGATCGGAAAAAGAACAAACACATATTTTAATTCATTTTTTTGTTTTAAAATCTGAATTTCGTATGCCGTTTGATAAATATATTTTAAGCAAATTGCCAGTGTTTTTGCAGCTAGTTAGTATTAGTGGTTAGTTCATTTGAAAGCCATAAATACTCTCAAATAAGTGAATCTTTCATGTATATAAGTGATGGTCATTGCAACTCGGAAAGACAAAGGTCACCTCCACTAAGGGTTTGTTTGCTGTTATACGGGAATAATAATAATAATAATAATAATAATAATAATAATAATAATAATAATAAAACTGAAACACATAAGCTGTTAATAATTGAATTATATTAGTCGAAGACACTTAAAATCTGTACAAATTGAACGATGTTCCCGGAAGAGTATAAAAGAAGGGAAGGAAAAAGACTAAGAAAAAAAAAAGCACACACAAAGTAGAAACTCAAACAAACAAATTTAAGGAAAAATGAAAGAAAAATAAAAAAAAAACACATATTTACATCTTCACCTTCACCTATAAACAGACATTATTCTGCCAAAGCCTCCACAGAACAAGTTCTTCATCTTCTTTATAACTCTCTTTTTTCTTTTTCTTTTTTTTCCGAGTCAGACCCAGATGAGGAGACTAAATTAATAACATTATTTATACACCTTTCACGCGCTGGTCCCACCTGCCAGCAAACCGAGAACACATCTTATCTTTTTCTTTTTTCTAAAATTTTCGAGCTTGCGTAATTCATCTCGATGGAGAAATCTCATCCGCATATATGGAGACACAGGCATCGGCAGCACCAGCAGCAAGCATCACTTGGTAAGGATGGAAAGTGAGGCAGCTAACAGACCCGATTTTCTGGGCCATGAAAGTCGGGTAGTACCTTATGGTGCCGAGTGGGTCGCCTTCCAAATTGAAGATTTTGATGAGCTGCTTGGCCGAGCCGCTGGCAATGATGGGCGCGTGCCGGTGGACTGCAAGGGCAGTGAGGGATCCTCTGTGAGCATCGATTGTGAGATATTTCTCTTTCGCGTGTCTCATGTCCAGGAACTGGATGTTTCCAGCTTGCGAAGCGCTAACAACCTGTGAAAATCAGAAGATGAACCGGGAAAAAAAAACAGTAAGTAGAAGTCTTTGTTAAAGAATGCAAACCGATAATCGAAATTTTTGGTATCCTTGTTACTATTTTTGCTAATTAAGTCTTGTTAAGAATGAGAGAGAGAGAGAGAGAGAGAGAGAGAGGGTCACCTTTGCAGGTTCGAGACCTGGCTGGAAGCCAATACCTACAACTCTTTCGCCTGGTTGAAGGTGAGGCCTAGTTTCACTAACAAGCCTAAATAGTACAGATATAAATTACAGAATTAGGGACATGAGGGTGAATATAAGGTGTTAATAAGGATTTCCATAAGATTGGAAAATGATAAAGCAAAACGGTCCAAGATTGAAAGAAAGTTAATAAAGATAAGCACTATGAAAGGTGGTGTTCACCTGTCGGAGTAAAAAGGTATACGTGGAGTGAACAAAATCAGGTGGATCTCAAAAATAAGGAACAAAAAAAAAAAAAAGCAGAAATAACCATGGAGGATGAACTTTGTTTTATAAAAGAAAACATGATATTCTTACATCTCAGGAGTGCGGACATCATATAATCTGACATAACCGTTGGCAAAGCCAGCAGCAAATTGACCTCCATGAACTTGAGAAGCAGCCTACACAATTTATCATATTAGTAAATTAACAATTCAGGAGCATTCCATCAAATAAAAGTGGGAACTAATTATCGAATTTAAGTGCATAAAACAAAGAGGTAGAGGCACAGTTCAATCACGACTGGCATGTCTCATTTCTTTCAGTATATGTTGAAAAAGACTCAGAGAAGGAATTGCATTTTTAAGAATAAACAAATAGAAGAATGTCCGACAGTTCATATGAGAAGCATCACAGTATCGAATGAAAAGGCTGAACGAATTACTCAGCAGTCACTAATCAACTCAAATGCAGCTGTGTAAAACCTACCAAAGCAGAGATGCTTGATTCAGGTGCTAGGGGAATGCTATTGACAAGCTGCTCTTTGTCCATATCCCAAACCATGATAGATGATATATCACCAGAGGCAAACTGCGCAGGGCAGATTAAAATCGATGAATTTCAAATAATGTATCTGAGTGTTACGGACCTAAGAAATTAAAGAACAAAATGCATGAATTTCAAATAATGTGCTTCACGTACAAGATATCCAGACTGTTGTTGCCAATCCACCACAGCCTTAACACTCCGGACCCCAGGTCTGTGACCCTGAATTGAAGCAAAAGCAGTAACTAACTTCTGTTGTCCTTTTGAAGCGTAATCTTTCCAAATCCGGATATTTCCATCATCTGAATTAACACATGCAAAGTAAAGTCAAGCTCCACTTAAAGATAGACAGAAACTCTGTAAGTGAAAGCTTACAACTGCAGGGAAGATATTTACTTGATGCAACAAGAAGCAAGTTCTCGTCAAGTTCATTTACAAGGCACAACTTGGAAATTCCTTTGTCAGGGTAATCATGGTTATTGAAACTGTTGAGCAAGGTTGCTTCCTCATAATTCCACACCCTAAAATATTACACATGAAGAGTTAATATATTATAAAGAAATCATTTTGAAAAAATCTCAAGTAAAATAGAGTATTTTGTGCGACAAATATATTCCCCAGAGTTTGCCTACCTAATCCTTTCACTTTCATCTGAAGCAATCACAACAGGCGAGAAAGGCTGCAGTAAAGCAGTCTTGGTGCCAGTCTCAAACTTTGTATCCCAACTGGCAATTTGATTATGCAGCTTATTCACAGCTGACAAGGAAAAAAAAAAAAAAAACCAACATTAGAAGACATCAAGTTAACTCCACGAATTAAGGGTTTTTAATTAACTTACCAAAGCGTTGGCATTTCCCTATTTGATCCAGGGCCAATTTTTCCCGTTGTTCTCTTCTAGCATTTATATCTTCAGTATCATCTATCAATGTAAGAAGCGGCTTCGAGAAGTGACCACAACTCCAATTATAAATCATTGACTGAGGAAGAAAACTACGTTCTGAACCACCAGAAGGTCCAGCTGAAGCTAAGAGTGGATCAGCGAGTCCTGAATCTGGAGAACTCATCACATGTGGCCTAAATTCCAATGAACAGACTCTCCGCATTCCAGTCAAGTAGCTTGGTCTAGGTGGACTAACAGGAGGGGTTCTAAAAGTCAACGGCAAGTGGCCACCTAAAGAAATTCAGTGTGAAAGCAAAACACAAATAAATCAATATTAGAAAGTAAAAGGCAAATAACAACAAACTTCAACGTGAATATTAAAAGTAATAAAAAATAATAGAAAGGACAATGCAGAAATGACCCTGATTATAAATGAAAAGTAAAAAGAACAAGCAACAACAAAAACATGACACAACATGCCCATCTCCATTCAATTTAAACTAAGTTGAACAACGGAAGTTTTACCTCCATTTAATTCAAACCAAGATGAGGAACGAGCTAGTCCAGCAATGCTACCGCCCGCGGTCGCAGCTGATTCACCAAGACGCGCACCCACACCAACAGGCTTGGCAGGTCTTGCAATTACTTGTTCAATACCTATAATAGACAACACCCTCCGTCCAAGGCCTGCAACACGTGGTGATGGATCCTTGGCTAGATTACACATAGCTAATACAAATTGTGAATATAGTGCATTATCCAGTGGCCTTCGCGTTGAATGGTTGAGAACCCCATTGCTAGCACTGTCATTTGGTGCCCCAGAATCAGAATTATGAGACGAATCATCAGAAAGTGGAGATCCATGCATTATTCCAGGGGTAGCCAGGGGACTACTGGTGGATACTCTAACATCACGAGCCACCGTCTGTCCGTCATTTCCAACCCGGAGTAAGGGAGCAATAGAAGAAGGGATTATACTCCCATGTGGCATGTAGTGCGTTGGAGTTGTATAGCCACTACTGGAACCCTTGAACGCAAAAGACGGCAAGGAAGTAAGCACAGAACCGGACTGGGGTTTCCAGTATGCAGAAGCTACCGACTTTAGGTGTTTAATATGACCAAAGGCAAACCGAGACAGAGCTGCAAACAAGGTTTATTTGTAAGGATTCAAATGATGATGGTTCATTTTTTCTCGTGGTTAGATAGATAAAGATGTATTCAATAAAGTTGGGGAGAGAACTTTCTAATCCCAGGAAAGCACACAATGCATCAAGACAGGCAACGATGATGAAGTTTTACATACCGACAGCAACTTCAGCTCGGACCAGGGGGCTTCCATCAGAAACAGCATTCAAAAGGTTCTTAACAATGACAGCTTCAGCCTTAATTTTTTCATCATCATCCAAATCTTCCTCTCCGTGACCATCTCTAGATGAGTCAAACCCCACGTCAAGGGCAGCGCCAAGGGCAAAAACAGCTGCTGCACGGACCTTAAAAAATATATACCCAGATTACACCGTGCAACTCACATTAACTATCTAAAACAGTATGATTATACTACAAGTTCAAGTAATAGAAGAGAGAAAAAACCTCAGGCTGGGGTTCGGAAAGTAGAGGTGCAAGAATAGCAGGGGCATCAGCCTGAATTCCTATCAGTTGAGCTTCTAAAAAATCCTCCCACAATTTCCCAAGGCACAAACATATCCATTGAAGGAAAATAGGCTCCATTTGTGTCTCGCTTGAGGAAGAGCATTGAAGATGCTTTAGACATACATGTATAAGACCAGCTTCAATGCAAGTCTCCTGGCCCCTCCTGTGACCATCTACAATGACAGCCAAAACAAATGCAGCCATTGCTCGTTGCTCGGGGTAAGCTTCTACACTGTCGAGGAACCTAATGAAATATATATGTCCCCCATCTTTCACGAGATCAACCTGACAAGACTGAAGAAACAAAAAATATTGTTGAGATTCAACTTATTTACCTCCAAAATAACTAATACATAAAATGGTAGTGAGCGTAGAGACATGGAAGAACACTGATGTTGTGCATTGGAGTATGTTCACCAACACGAAGCAACAAGACAGGCATAAGATGAAAATTTCTGCAACCATCAATTATTGACTGTCCAACTAGCAGTTTTACTTCGGACTCCACCCCTACGCCTCACTTTCCAATCAGCTTATTTTTTTCTATTTTCACACCCTCGTATTTTTGTTAAGACAATTAAGAAACACATGAAGAAAGGACATATCTATGTATTAACTTAATTAAAAACAATATTATATGGGTTAATACATATTATAGTGCATCCATGAAGATGATATGTCTTTAGCATTTATGTGGTGTCTATCGCAACTTTAAGACATGTCACATTACTGAATACAACGCATATAACCAATGGATTCACTTCCTGATTCCCCTTTCAAGAATACTGATATAAACAAGGGGATGCCTGAAAGAAGAATACAGTGGAAGACACGGATAGTAGTTCGTTTTGCAGTACAAGTGAGACTTGAAAACAGTAAGACCATAATGAATTTCTAGATATACCTTATCCAATGCAAGTATCTTTGTCCAGATAAACACAAGAATTTGTCGAAGCTCTGGCGTGGTAGTTTGCAAAAGCTTCAACACATAAGGAAATATTCCCACGGATAAGGCCTGAAAGGGGCAAATAAGTATATTAAACCACATAGTTTTGCATTTGACTAAGCAACATAATAATAACAAATTATCCAACAATTACCAGATCCACAGCCCATGGTCCCATATCCAAAAATCTGCCAAGAAGCACCAGCGCACGGAATCTATGCAATTGACTAAGTAGAACCTGAGTAACAGCAATAAAGACAGATTGCAACAAGTTCATAAAAATAATATATCATTGAAAATAAGAAGATACACAACAAGGTATCAGTAAAATCTATAGGCAAGTGTTCTATCAAGGAAAATAGAAATTATAAGCCATTGAAGATCCAAGATTTCTTTCCTCGGTAAAGAAGCTGCAACCATCTCAGTCAGCAGCAGAAGACAAGGGATTATGACCGATAATTAAAGACTTAATTCTCAAATACGGCCAACCAAGATACTGCTTTAACACCAAGAGTACAGTTTTCTCCCAAAAATTTTCCACAGAAGATTCAAAGACTGAAAATGCTATTTTTGTATATTACATTTTCATTCTAGTTGGAAGAAAAAATTCAAAGACTCGGAAAAATGGAAAAGCAAAATCCCTAAAATCCCAGAGGACATTCATATGGCCAGCAACATATGCAACCCGCCCAGCTGTTGTATTGAGTGATTCCCACCTGAAGAACAATTGGCAACTGTTCGGGCGGCTTCTTGTGTTCAGAACCATGATCAAGCCACACTTCAAAAGCTGTTAACTGCTCTGTGAAAAATGGGCTCGGCTGAAATGAAAACAAGGCAATGATGCATCAGGCTGGTAAGTTAGCCTACTTATTCCAAAAAAATGTTCAGTGCTTCTTTCTATTTTAAATTATCAGCTGCCTAATATTTATAAATGCAAATGAGAAATTAACTTTAATTGCGGGTACCTGGAACTCTGCATTTGGGTCCTCGACCAATGTTGGAAGCTGAGAAAGACAGATTTCAGCAGCCATATCCCATGCATCCCTGTGGAATAATGAACATAATTATATACTCATCCACAATAACAAAGAATAAGTTAGTTAAATATTAAGCCATGGAATGGACACATAGATGCACCAAGGAAAAGAGTACACGCGATGAGAAGTTACCACATATGATGTTGATGAGTTGACGGCAACTTGGGATGTGAAATCGGTGAACAATTTGCGGAACGCATAATCCTTTCAGCAAGCAAGAAATTTCGAAACAAGCTGGCAACTAAAAGATCTTGCCTGAACAATCTCTGGAACAAGTCTGAAATTTAAGAGACACTGGATTAGATATACCCGACCAGAAAATTTTGTGGCCCAAGATATTATGGATACAAATTAACTACAGCATTATTTGATTACCATGCGGGAGCACATTCCAGGCAATAGTGTCAGTCACAGCTGTGAATATCCAGTTCAGCTCCCCAAGAAGGGTCTTCCGGTCTGTTTGGCGTCCAGGAATTCTATCAATCAGGGAATAATCGAAGGACTCGTGAAGCAAGGATCGAGTGCAAAACCTGGAGAAAATTTCACATTACGTTCATAGCCAGCATATGCCTAAGGAAATATTAAGGAAGCAAAATATATACATAAAATATTGCACATGCAAAAGTAGTAAGCCATGTCAAAACTTCTCTGATTGAGAGAAATGGCAACAATTGGAAAAATGAGCAACTATGACTGGCTGAAGATACAAATTACAGCATTTGGTTGTCAATATACAGTATCGAACAATACCACGGCACAAAGATTGAACAACTTCGAGAGTGGACATAAGCAGAGATTCATGCATCTGAACTCACATGTATCGACACTCAACCCACTTATATATACAACAACCTTTATGACAAAGAAAGCTCTTTTCCAAAAGAAATGAGTTAGCTTTCATTTTTTATTTTATTTTATTTTTTTTGGANNNNGGGGGGGGGGGGGTCCATTTCATCTTTTCAGCTTGGTTTCTCAGAGAGTCAGAGATAACCAGGAAAGAAAATAATATGTGTGACACCTTTGATGGAACAATGAAAAATGGATGATGGGAAATTAGTTCTTTTTTGGTCATCCCCAAAACACTGAACAGAATGTAAAGCAAAGTAAAAATATATATTCACAAATGAAAAAAACAAAATGAGCTTCTACAGATAGTTTATCTCACACAATTCAAAAGCTGACAATAAAAGGAATTGGCAGTTGGAGAGACAGAGTTATGGGCAGTGGGTTACCATCTTAATGCCATTTTTATGGGTGTTGTGAGGCAAGAAGTAAATACATCAGCGGGAAATTCAGCACTCTGAGGAAGTGTTTCATGAGCTTCACAGGCTGCAAGCAAAATACAGTCCCTAGAAGAAGGACCAGGGCCAGAAGTACCAAGCTCCTCGAGCTGTAACGAAACAAACACGAGTCTCAAACACAGGTCTCAAACAAACCAAGTATCAACAAAATATGTCATTTATTGGTTCAAAAACATTACATTAATGAAGGCATTGACAATCAACCCAGCAGCAGAGCAGTCAAACACATATATTGAAGGGGTCTTCAGCCAGGAATCCAGATCACCAACCGGCAAAGGGATGTACTGTGTATAACTCTAAATAAACAACTAAATGAGTATAGGAAGACAGAGAAATGGACAGCCGCGAGGTTTAGGAACAAAAGCATGAAAAAACATATTAGAATAAGGACCTTATTAAATAGCCAGATTTCACCACTAGGTGTAGGCTTAGGCACTCCATGTCCATTGTAGTGAAAAAGAACCCTCTCAGTTTTTGCATATTTGCGGCATGTTGTACACAATTTCTTCACTTCATCTACAGTTGGATCTAATGAATACTTGTAACGAGCCTGCCCATGTGCCCTCAATCAGATATAGTTCAGCATTCTTGCAGATATACTGAATATACATAACCTATTCGTATCTACGACTTCTACATTATTCATTGGTAAGCTCATTAACGAATTGCATAAATATTAAGAAAGCATAGAAATTTCCACACCTTGGGCTGCCACCTCTCATATTGTTGGTTCAAGGTCCTTCCTATTGTTTCAAGGGCTTTCTGAGGTGCCATTGAGAATGGGTCTGCAAAGAGAGTGATTACACACATATGATGACAAAACATATGTTTATCCACAATAGAAGAAAAATTATCGATTTCGCATTATGCCAGAAAAAGTGAAAAGTCAAAGAAATCAGAAGTAAGAACCAACCAAAAAATAAATACCAATAATAATAATAATAATAATAATAATAATAATAATAATAATAATAATAAGTGATCAATATGGATATCTCAATATTAGTACTATAGACTTCATACATATACCCAGGCCACGAATTTCAATCATGAGTCAAACTAATTTTTTTAAGACACAAACAGATAATCATAGTCTGTCTGCAGAGTAAGTAGTCGGTATAGAAAGGAAAAGAATAGTATACCAATCCAGCATTCCATCCGGGCACAAGGAGAAATTTTAATTACATCCGGTGGATCAACGCTGATATTTAAGCATAAAACTAAAGCAACACAACCCGTCTTCATCTGCAATGAAAGGGAGAAGAGAGAACTCTTCAGTAAATAATTTTCACAAGATAACATGCATAACCAAAGCAACTAAACAAGTATAGCTGGATGGAGAAGTCAAAAAAGTATTTATGTCACGGATAACCAACCAACAGAAAATAAATATAATGGATGACCAACAGAAACTGATTTCATTAACCATGATATGCCTCAGCCCATAGAGCTCAGCAGGTCAAAGTTCACTTTAGAGGACACATTAGCAATTTTAAATTGCGTCTATACTCAATTATAAAACATGTGATAAAATTTAGAGACCATTTCATGCAGCCGTCAGTCAATAAACACTATAAAATTCGAGAAACAGTAAAAGAATACAATACTATCACCAAATTTCCAGATAACCAAAACAGAAAGAAAAACAAAAGGAATACAAGACTTCACATTCAACCCCCATCGATAAAGTATCTTTATCTAGGTTAATAACTTCAATATGAAATAACAGAAACCCGGCATATCCATATTACTGTGGCCACTACATGAAGAGAATTTCAGGATCGTGGTCAAAAAGGGATTATGGCAAAAGAAGAAAAAAGGGAAAGGAAGGTAAGCCTTTTTTCCAGTTCTCAAATTAAGAACTTTTGCATGTCGTATTAAAACGTTGCTGCACATCTCTATATACAGAACAAAACTAATCACGTGTTAGCAAAAATGACAGCAATGCATTGCTATTAGATGTGAAAGTACTAGTTCTTTATCATCATTCACAAGTAGTGCATAACAAATCATCACCAAAATAATGTTGGAGCACAAGCACCACACAACTGCTACTACCGGTCATCTTTTGCACCACAACATACATATGATTATCAACTTTTTGTTTAGATTCCAAGTACAGCAGCAACCGCGAGTTACTTTGGTCAGCTAATGTGGTTTTTCGCAGCATGTTAATAACACTATATGGTAGGTCTAAATCGTAACCACATTTTTGCAATTTTACAGCAAATAAATTACTCGGGAACTGAAGATTAAGCGAATCTATTGTTAACAGAACTGGAAACCGAAACAAAAAAACTTTATCAAATAAATTCTCGAAAGAGAACGGAAAGGGATTCAAGAGCTCACGCGCTCCCGAGGTCTCCATTTGGAAACTAAACCACTGTCCGATGGCCCCGAGGGCGTGCAGTCCTCGAATGCCTCATGCCGGTGCTCACACAACACAACAGTCTGAGGCAAGTACGCCATGCTCGTCGCGGTAGTCATTGCCGCATAGCTACTGCTGGCCGTCTCGGTTAAATCCCGAACACTAGTACTATTAGCAATGCTATTGCTACTGTAAACACTCCTTTCGCTATCTTCCTCCACATGATTCCCGTTCGCGGAGAATTCATCCAGGTGATTCGAGACCACCGTTGAAGATTGTGAAAACCGCGATGCCGCCATCAAATCCCCCAATGCCATAAAACTACCGGTGATTTTGAATGTTGTTCAGCCCTGACCTAGTCGAACTGAATGCCGAGGGCAACTCATAACCCGAACCCTAATCCCAAACGATTACACCGAAAAAACGGGGGGTTTTACGCGCTCTTCAGCTCCGGCTTATAGAAAGAAGAATGAAACTGGGGCCGGGCAGGATTTAGGTCTGGAAAGTGGCCGGCGATTAATCGACGAAGCCTGTGAAAGAGCGGCGGAGAGATTTTGGCAGAGGAGAGGATGCGGAATCCAGCTCGGGGAAACCCTATAAGGAGGTGGCGCAACAGGCGGCGGTTGTGGCGGCGGCGGTAGAAGAATCGATGGAGGCGCAGATATACATATGTACAGCGAGGAGAGAGGGCGAGAGGAGAGAGAAAGAGAGTGAGGCTGTTTGGAGCAAAATCAAAAGAGCTCTCAAAAAAACTCGTAAAGTGTAATTTGGGGATTCTTATTACACACCACTTTCAATTATGTCTCTTTATTATTTGATTTAGAAAAAAATCATTTTATTAAATTTTATGATTAATATAATTTGCATTACAAGAATTTAAAAGAGTAATTTGATTTTTATCCAAAATTTATTGGTTAGTCAATAGATTATGCAATCCAAAATTTGTTATACCTAGTAACTAAGTCTAAAATAGGGTTATCTTTTCTTATATAGTTATTTCTAATTTTTAAACTTAACAGTGATCAAGGCTCAGCTCGACTAGTTAAGATTCGAGTTTGGCATGTCTCACTTAAGTTCGAACTTGTTTAAGGCTTATTAAATTATTGCTCGTTAAGCTTGAAAATATAATCTTTATGCAACTTTCTACAGTTCTGGCATAATTCAACTTCTTTGAACTCTATTCGAGTTCAATTCGTTAACGAGCATGGTTGATCCTAAATTTGAGTATCACGAGTTCGACTCTGACTTGGTCATAACTCTAGCTGAAATCAAGTGACTAGCTAGCAATTATATAAACTTCATTACATTTGTGTGTGATATTTCTTCCCAGTTTATCAAAGTGGACATGCAAAATAAGTAAAAGGTAAAAGAATGAAAAATCAATTATTATTAAATTGATGACATGAATTAAATGGTTTTTTACTATGTTTGGTGCTCCAACTAAAGAATGAATGAATGGATTCTTTAATAGGTAAAAACATAATAAATGTTAGAATTGAACACCAATTGAACAACCAAATTAAGGTAACGTTTAATAATTTGTCTATCGGGTACCAGCTGTCTGATTGCATGCTTTACGTGTCTAATATCGGGTACCAGCTGTTTGGTCGGATGTCATACATGTCATTGCGTGTCAATTTGACGGTTTGAAACGCTGCACATATCGGTAGGTAAAATTCACCATATCATTATTTCAAATATTTAAGTGTGTATTGTAGATTTAGAAAATGTTAATTATTTATGAATACATAGAGTATATAGAATCATATAATGTAGTATTTGTATGGAAAACTGCTGTATTTGTAAGCACTATATATACATTTAAAAAATGTAAAACATCATTGACAACATTTATGTACATAAAATGTTATTTTATCATATTCGACGAGTTATTTTATAAAGCCAATTTTCTTTTTATGACTTTTTTCTAATAATGTTGGTTTTCTTCATATGCAAGAATCAATGCAAGACATTATTCTCGAGTATATTTGGAACCACCTTGTTTATACACAATGAGTAGCTTTCCCAAGCTGGTCTAGTATAGTAGTATTCATCACAGACAAACACAATGTATGTAATTTCATGTACAATAATCATGTAAGTCTAAAAAATATATGACATCCTGGGATGGGTACATATATTATAATAAAGACAAAAGAAAATACCCAACTTGCTTTTTTTTTTTTTTCTTATTTTTCATCATGCATTCACCTATAAGACATGATGATTAAAACGAGCAACAATTTGATGGTTAATTCGTGCTATTTAATTAGAATTGTAAACCGCGTGCTCGAACTCGACTCTTTAACGAGCCAACTTTGTTAAAAAAAAACTCAAAAAATACGTAAAATTCTCCATGTATCAAACCTGACAAGTCTGAATAAATTGAGTCGAACTCACGATCGGCTTGTTTCGTCTAACAGTTTCATGTCTAACTTCACTCCATCCAACAAAGTAGGCATGAAAATAAATAAAAATTGGATTGAACATTTCAAAGAGGTGATAACAGAAAACATATATAATATTCTCTAACTCAGATACTAGCCACAACAATAGGATGCAAAGGACCAATATAAGAAGCACCTAGCTATATACATTACACACCTTTTTCTAAATCTGATCCTAGTGTCTAAATGATACATAATTTAGTACTGATCAAATAAATCTATAGCCTATACATAAAAGTTTATATTTATAAATGGGTAAAATCGAAAAATCCTAAATTTGAGAGAACTTGAAAAGGGCCCCTTGATATATATAAAAAAAATTGTTCATCATACTTTAAAAAAAAAAAAAAAAAATTAGGAGAGGACCTGATGTTATCAAAATGGGCCTCATGGGCTGCATAATTGAAGGATTTCCAACAGACAAATATCTAGGATAGGGCCCACAGTGCCAGCTGAATTGAGGCCCGTGAAGGATCCTTCCTTAGAAAAACAGACACACACATTGATGTTGGTGTGTTGGTTCTTTACAGGCTAAGTGCACAATGATATTTTGCTGTTCTTTTTTAGTTTATGGTTATGATTGAAATACATATACATATTTTCACATTCAAATATCATACATTAAAATATAATATAAATAGAAGTATTTTTTGTTATATGTATATTTTTTATGTGTAAGAAAGAATGGCGCTAGGCAATTTTCATTCTGAAAGTGATGTATTTCAGCATTTCTAATATCAGTTCAATTGCATTATTTAGTAGATTGGGCTAAGCCTGGTATAGTTCGATTAAGATGTCGGCCCAATTAATTAGATTGGCCCAACCTATCCATGTAGTTAAAATTTATCGGCCCGTTTTCAAAACAAAACTCTAGCCCATTAAGCAAGCACGTTTGCGTGGTTTTTCTGCATTAAAGAGTTTGCTTGAAGGAAAATCGGAAGAAAAAGGTGCTTATCTCTCCGTCTCGCTCTCTGTCTCTTCCACCTGAAATAGCACAGCCCTTGTCACGGCACTAGGTAAGGTAAAAGAAATCTCTAAATTCTTCTTTTTTTTACCTTTTGTTCTGTGTGCCGGACTGGGGGAAAATCTGTTTTTGAGCATAATTTGGAGTCAAGATTAGATTTTTATACTCGAATTGATTAATTAATTGAGGCGCTTATTCCATCGATTAAATGGGTTTCCTGTTTTGGGATATATTCTTTTGTTCGAACCTCGATTTTGATCTTGTTCTGTTGATTAATGCCTGAAAAATATTTTTTTTTTTGTTCGGGGACTTGTGATTAAAGAAGAGAAATTGAGGGTCATCAGTTTTCTGAGGATTTGGTGTGTTGGTGAGCTCAACTGGGTACTTAGCAAGTTGGTTTCTTTGGGGGCAATGTTTAATTTGACAGTCGATTGGCTCGTAATGTTTTAGACCTTGCTCAAGCTCCGATGGGGCTTAGCTTTAAGTTCCGAAGAGCTCTAATTTGGATGTAAATTGTTTGTTATCATTATGTGCATAAAAAGATAGGTTTGCTGATGTTACGTATGGGCTTGTGGTTTAGATCTTGTTGAGGCGAAGCCCAGTTTATGAACAACAGCAGCTCTAATTGTTTGGAGATCATTTTTTTAGTTTTGTTTTTTCTCATGTGAATCACTATTTTTGCAGCATGGATACAAGGGTTCTTGTATTTCTGTTCATACTCAGCAGCTGCTGGTGCTGTAAAGCTAGAGACTTGACAGATAAACCTGTCGAGAAAAGTGAAATTGTCACAGGTAGTTTATCTTGTGGCGACCCTTTTTCTAGAATGCACGTTAAATTCAGAGAGAAAATTATCCAGAGTTTGTCTTCTGCTGATTTCTTTCTGGAAGTAGAATGTCTTTTTTGTTGAGCTTTAGCAAAAGAAACTCTATTGATTGAAGATATATAGGCCCAGTTCTCTCTCTGCTCCGATCACCTCATTCATGATCATGCACGATGAAGAAGCTCATGCATGTTAAGAGCCAGTTTCATTTTCAATTAAAATCGTATTGACGTCTTTCTCATGTACTTTGAATTTTAGTAAAAGGAACGACGTCGCTTTAGTGTGCTAGGAGGTTTAATTGTTACGACGCCGTTTCTCTTTGCACTATTGAATTTTGTTCGCGCGGGCTTCATTTATTAAGCTGCGCATTTGCATGTTCAGGTGATTAACGTGAATAACAGAATTTGGGGGGCCTTAGATATTTTTCTGTGAATTTTTCTCTCGATTTGTTCATCTTCTTCAATCTTCATTGATAACAAATGTCTTGTCTTCTGCTACCAGCTCTGCAGTCTCATGATAATCATTTGGTAGAGGGAGAAGCTCAACGTGTAGAGAAAGTTGGCAAAAACGAGAGATTGTGTACGCTGTGTGAAGAATTTACCGGTGATGCTCTTAATTACCTTAATCAGAACAAGACCCAGACAGAGATCCTCGACATCCTTCACAAATCCTGCTCCAAAGTCCTTTCATTCAAGCAGCAAGTATATATATTTTTTTTAATTATGTTTTTTTTTTTAAATTTAAGTTGAAGTTATTGTGCTTGTTTATTTGTTATGTCGGGTTAATTCTTGCAATTTCTGGGCATTTTGTCTTTTCAGTGTAATGTTTTGGTGGACTATTATGCCCCTTTGTTCTTCTTAGAGGTGTCCTCGGTACAACCCGATGCATTTTGTCAAAAGGTTGACCTCTGTGAAGACGGTGTGTCCACCTCAGCTCGCCTTTCTCAGGATAAATGTGATGTTTGCCATAATGTTGTTACAGAGGCTTTACTGAAGTTGAAAGATCCCGATACTGAGGTAAGTCTTTGGCCGATTTGATCAACAGCTAATTTCACAGATGAATTAAAATAATAGCCTTTTTAATTTTGTGATTTGATGCTTGAATTCATGTAGAAAGAAATAGCATTGCTGTTCATCATTTCATTCCATTACTTTCTGCTGATTGTTTCAGATGGAAATTATTCAGCTGCTTCTGAAGGCGTGTGAGTCGACCGGAAAATCAATTAAAAAGGTAAACGTCTAAATTGTCCTTATTTGTTTTCATGGTAATAATAGAAATCATTTGTTGGACTACAGCACTTACTAACTCGTAAACAGTATCCTATTTAACTTAACTCCATTAATCTTCTTTCAAAATACTTGAAGAGAACGAAAAGAAATAGAATTGTTTGAAGTTCAAATCATACCATTCAACTGAACATATTTTTGCTGATTTGTGTTCTGTTCTGTGGTAAAATGTTTTAAAGTGCAAGAGACTAGTGTTCGAGTATGCCCCAATTATACTCGTTAATGCCGAAGAATTCCTGGAGAAAAACGATGTGTGCTCCATACTGCATGCTTGTGATCAGATATCACCCGAAAAAGACTCATACATGCATGCTGCCTCTTAAGTTGTAGTTCGACTTTTGCTGTTGCTTTAAACAATGTGGGTTTGATTATATTCTATGGTGTGCATATGATGATTGAAATATTATGTGAATTTCTATTCAGAAGATCGATGTAATGTTGGGACCAATATAAACATTATGTGAATTTCCATTTAGAAAATCAAGATTCTGTTCGTGCTGTAGATCGTTTTTTTTTTTTTTTTTT